CCCCCGGGCTATCTCTCATACTTCAGTCGATTCGCCATCTACAACCTCCGACCTTGTTCGCGTTAGGACGGAGGTGACGTCCCGAGATCAAGTGGGTTACGTCCGCGCGTACCTGCTGGATACGCCTTCTTGCAATTCCCTGCATTCTGCTGTTCGAGTTATAAATTATGAATAATTAATGGATCATTACACTTTTTGAAAACTCCCGAAAAACTTACTACTGAAATATAAGTGCAACAAGTGCAAGTAAAACGAACAAATCTATTCGGCAGATTGTTGCGTAACGAACACGTGCGGGCGAGCTCAAGCAGGTGTGACGTGATTTGCGCGTGGTCTGCCTCGTAAATATCTGCGCGTAATTTTAATCCCAACCGTGGGATCTAATAAAAGTAACAGGAGCTACTATCGGCCGGAGGAGAAAAACGGAAATTATCTCTTTGGCGATTTAGAAATTCTTAAATAAAACAACTTACCCCGTGCGGCAACTAGTAGTTGCGGTCACCGCTATAATTAAACGTCACGTCGCGAAAAACCGCCCGGCGGTTTGGAACAATTTGTGAAAGAGATGGCATTACGCTTCGAGCACACTTGGCTTCGAAACACGAGAAATGCCGTAACCCGCCGCGTTTACGAGACGCGTTTACGCATTGTGACCCGCGTTTAAATGTCATAACGCGCCACGGGATTTTTAAACAGATAATGTTGTCGTGCTTAGCGTGTCTTTAATTCAGACCTGGTACTTTCTCGTAGCACGACGAAATCCAATCTGGCTTCGTGGAAAGGCCGGAATTGCGACGTATAAATGTTTCCGCGGAAAATAAACGACCGCGTGCCTGGAAAATTATATACGCTAGGAAATCGTTTAATTCCGGCAAGGGAGGAGGGAAAGGGAGGAAGGAGTGGGGGAGAGGGAGAAAAAAGAATACAGAATTTATGGAAGCGTCATAGCGCTTTTAATAGCGCAGCGTACCTCTTCGTATATCCGGCAGGCCGGTCGACAGAAAGCAAAGGAATATTAACGAGGAAATGCATTTTCTTCGTCAAATAAAAAGCAGGCGACGCACAAAGAGTCGAATTAAAAAATTAGAAGTCCGCAAAGGCGACTCGCGCGCTGCCGGCAATT